GGGAAAAGGAAGAAAATGCTTTCTCCGTCTACCGTTGTCTGTAAAACATTGCATAAATGTTTTTTTCATTTGAAAGCTCCTTGAAATAATTTACAATATCATCATTTCACTTTGGGGAAAACTGTACTCCAGGAACATGAAGTTATTTGCCCAAGATCACCCTCTAGATGCTAATACAGTATAAATCATAAAATAGTTAGCGTTTACACAATTGAAACCAAGTTTCCTCTCTCACTTCCCGTGTGAACAACCACTGGATAAAGGAGTTTATAAACCTAGAACGAACGATGATTTGCATGTTTGGAAGTTCGTGTCATTTTGCTTGATATGATGCTTGCCTATGCAATGGATTCCCAAAAACAAATTGCTTCAAAGATGGCATGCCAAATACCATATGTATGATGTCACTTATACGTGGAATGTAATGAGTAAACTGAACTAAGGAGGAAAATGGGCACAGACTCATAGATGGAGAGCAGGATGGCAGCTGGGGGGTGAGGGGTGGAGGGGAGTTTTTGTTGCAAAAAGGAGGAACGGCTCACGGACACGGACAACAGTGTGGGGATTGCTGGGTGGATGGGGATATAAGGGGGCTATGTGGCAATGGGGAAAATATAACGATGAAACCAAAAAGATGGCATGTCGGAAGAAAATCTGACATTTTAAAATCATTGGCAAATATGCCTTAAAATAAATCGCGTATGAAAATATAGATGTCGTAAAAGAAAAATGAATTAGGCTCTAACACTAAGTATTGCCACATGAAGTAAACTACTTCAACTTTATGGAATGCCACAATGATGGGTCATAATTTGAATTCTTCTTATCAATAAAATAGAGGAAGTATACGAACGTCTATGGTTGCGTACTGTCAATACGATCGTGAAACGGCTCTAGTCCTGCTATTTCGCCAGGTAACTTGTATAGGGTTAGTACGAAAAGACTAAACAGGAATATGACACAAGTTGCCAGGTCATTGATAAACTTAAGTATACTTGAATACACTCATCTTTCCGATTGTTATTGTTGAATCCAGGAAGCATCTCTTTGTTTTGTCTCGTTCTTGAGGGGGTGTTACACTCTGATGCTTGAGAATACATGTTCACAGAAACGAGGGAGAGGCGAGGTGAGTGTGTGGGGACCGAAACCAGTGAGACGCCAAGATGTTACTCATCTGGCCTTCCGTTTCCGCCAACAGACATGCCCATGCTTTCTTTTTCTACTCAAAGTCTTTCATGAGACTAAAATATTTACTTGTAAAATTATAAAACATAGGACACTGTACAAATCAAAGACATTAAAGAGAATGAATTCATACAAGCGTGGCCGAAAACCATTTTTTGTTTTCCTTTCATAGGAGAACAAGTGCATTGTAAAAGGATCACGCATCTCGAGGTGCATTCTTATCACTTAAAGAATGAAACATGAAATGAATTTCCATACAGTGTCATGAAAATCCATCAATAAATTAGCTTCATTATTGTCCTGCTAAAATATATTTCACATGAATCAAATGCTTGTGTTGAGGAGAGAAAAATCGTCTCCCAGGATTCTTTTTTTTTTTTCTCTTGTTTCCTCAAATCTATTCAAGCATGATAAAGTGATTAGGTTTTTACAGACCTGGTCTGCAAATGACAAATATAGCCATCGTCACTCTCAGTTTCACACTTTATTACAATGATTTGACCTTTAATGTGTTACAGACAATTAAAAGGGTGGCTTACGTCCTTGATCAGTGGAGGATTTCTGCAAGATTTCTGCTAAGTCAGTCTTTCCATTGAAACACGGTCATTGCAAAAGACTGTTCGTATTTTCACCGTCTTTCACAGGTGTAACCGAATCTCAAAGGATGCTTTTCACCCTCAAAGACCTTTCTGCATGTGACAAACCTGTGCTTTACAACCCACGTCGTCGCACAGGGCGAGAGTATTGAGGGACCATGGCATATTGGTCATTTGATTATTTTTCTGCTGACAAAAGATGAGCACATTTTAGGGTTGGTGCCTTCTGAGTGAACTTCCGTCGGAAAGTAATGCCATTTCAAATCTCAAGGCATCTTACCTAGTTTTCTTCATTCTGGACACTGAATGGTTAATAAAGTCTTCCGATCATAGAACTCTGCTCAGAGAATGACACGCAATTTTATAATGTTATAATAGAAAGTCAATCCAACTAAATGTACTTACGTATTTTATTTTTCCCAAAGGTAAAATTTACACTTGGCATTGATAAAAGAACGTGCTGCCTGTGTTTATGGCACATTCCTTCTTCCCCGCCCTGTTCCCACATGGACCCACGGACGATGTGCGAACTGCCCCTTCTCCACACCCCAAAATATAACTTTTTCTACGAATGTTGAAACAAAAACAAGGGCCCCTTTGCCTGTGAACATGGACATAGTTACTGTGCACGTTGGTGCGAACCTTCTTGGACCAGGGCCTTAAAATCCCGCGTGTGGGAGGGTTTAAGGGGAACACCTTATACAAATATTTCAGTGTCAGCCACTATGGCTATATTCCACAAAGCAAAAAGCAGAGGGGAATAAAAATAAGAAACTTCTACTGAAGACATAAAAGGAACAACCCCTGGACACAGAAAGAATAGGCTATGCAGAGCAAATTCGGAAAAGTTGGGACTCCAACTTTTAAACCCTTAGTTGTATTTGAAGAAAAGCAGACATTTGCAGGAATCATAAAAAGTATATAACAAGCCCGAGGAATTCCACTATAAATCTGGTTTGAAATAAAACAGCAAAAGGCACACACAGACAGCAAGAAACCTCCTTGCTGAGGAGCCTTTGACAAATTTGTGAGTTTGATGTCAAGGGGTCATTGGTTCCTTTTTCTCCCTCTTCTTTTTTAAAGTTTCTTTGAGGTCGCTGACGGGAAAGAAGGTCCAAGGTGAGGATGAAATCGAGTGGAGATGAGTGGAGAAATGACCTAGGTAGGTAAAGCAGGGAAGAAGCAGGGAAGACAGATTGACAAGAAGGGGGGAAATAATACAGATACAGGTGTTTTGCTAGAGGTTAAGGGGAGGAAAGAGGCCAAGGTTAAGGGCCTCTGACTGCTGGCGGAGAGAGGCGGAGCGGGCAAGCGCGGGAGAGACGGCAGGAATCAGGGAGTTGTGTGGGAAATGGGGTGTGCTGGAGGTAAGTGTACTTCCAGGCAGCTGAAGGTGTGTGTTCTGACGGCCGAATACTAGGAATTCCGAAGGGTGCGTGGGGGAGGGGCAATGAGTAGTGTCAAGTGATCAGAACAACAAATGTTCTTTCTATTGTGTGCCACCACGTGCCCAATTTTCTCACCCCCTTTTATTGGTTTTAAACTCTTCAGAGGCTGCCTCTGTGTACCAAATGAGCACATTATGAGCACATAACTTCCAAAGTGGGACATCGGACCTGAAGATCTGCCCTCACCTAGTTGTGTCAGACTTTTGCACTTGTACTTCCTAGGGATGCCTATTTGCCAAAGCCACAGACACACCCCCTCTTTAGGAATCTCTTCTCAACCTCTTAGCACAAATTAATTTCTCTCTCTGGTATGCTCAATTAGCACCTTGATCACATTGTATCATAAATCTGTGAGTCTCCTGGCTCATAGGACACTCAAACCACCTTTTCCCATTCTCTTCTGTAGTCCTGGCACAGTAGGCAGCTAATGAATGTGTGTAGATTCTTTGGTAAATCAATACATGGACGATACCTTGATACCATACATGAAGGAAGATTTTTGGAGAAAGTGAGGTTTCAAAATTTCAGCCCCTGAATTTCAGAAAACCCTGGCAGCCATTCGAGTCCTAGTATTCCATCAATGTAGCTTAGAGCCAGTACTTTCTATAAAGTCTCCTGGTGGGTGTGCCTTTCCTCCAACCACTTCATAACTCCTGGCCAAAGGCCTTGCGTAGAGGAGAATTTTCCGTTTTTACAAAATCCATGACCAGACTTCTTCCTATCACAAGTAGTCTGTAACCAATGAGGGATTTCTAGTTTCATACAAACAGAAAAGTTTTTCCTGTCAAGAGAAGACATAATGTGAAACCTGCAATCCCTTCTGCAGTACCCAAAACCCACCATTACACTGGGGGGGGGGCGGGGTTCATCAAAATCTCATTCAGGTGATTAAAATTTTCAACACTTAGCAAATGATTGCAATCTAGAAAATGAATGTGTGTTTGTGCTAGGTGTGAATGTCCTTCTCATCCCTGTATTTCAAAGGCATAGCAACTTTAAGTTTTAAGATAGATATGTGTGTGTGTGTGTGTGTGTATAAAGCCTTCCATTAGAGAGAAAACAAAACCTCAGATTTACAAACCAGAAGAATACTTTTCTCCTGTGCCATTTCCCCCAAACCTCCCAGCTGCCTGCAAATCAAAATACAACAGGAAAGCAGTTCCCAGCGTGCCCTCTGAATGGTATTTCCTTGAGAAGGTCAGTCAGTCCCAAGGCCAAGTTGCCTGCAGGCGTCCGGCCTCAGTCCCCTCCCCCTCTTGCCCTGAGCAACGTTCTCTAATTGCGCCCTGTAGTCCTTCTCCCAAGGCTAAGAAATATATATATATATATATGGTCCGCAATGGGGGCAACAGATTAGCTTCCAGTTCGGGAAAGCGGAGGTCATTCCTTGGAACAGAAGAGCAAAGTTGGAAGGGAAACCGCAGTGGGTTCCCCATTTGTGCATCTTGTCTATGTGCTGCTTTACAATACAGAGCACGGTGGTGGCGTCTCCCCGGGCGGCAGCAGCTCCTACAGTCTTTCTGTCCGCACCTCCCAATTTGCAGTCCCTTCCTTCAGTCCAGGGGACGCCCCACGCTGCGCCATCGCCCTCGGCTGCCCCCATCCCCCACCATCGCTATGACCCTCTTTGGCTTCTAGGCATCTCTATTGCCGGCTGAGGCAGCCCCGGGGTCTGGAAAGCGCCGGTCTTCGCACGCCCCTTCCTTATCAGCCGGGCAGGAGAGAAAAGAGCGGAAATTGCACATTGGAACTATTATTTCATCGGACGAACTTGCCCTCTAGAAAGCCGCTGAATAAGTCCATTCACAGTGGATCCTGAAGGTGCAAGATAAAAAGGAGAGAGGACGGGGGCAGGGCAAAGGGGGAAAACGGCCTGGGAAGCCCCGAAACCTGCGTCCGACCCCCCCGGGCCCGCCACCGGCCCCGGCGCGGCCCGCAGTGGAGTCCCCCGCGTCGCGCGCGCCTCCCGGGACCCGAGGAGCGCGGAAGGCGGGGCCCGGGGTACCAGCGCGGGAAGGTGGCCGAAAGGCGGCGACGGCGGCTGCGCGGAGGGAGCGCGCGGGGGAGGGCCGCCCGGGCTCCCGGCCGGGGCGAGCTGCCCACCGTCCTCCGGGCCGTCGAGCCGGGCAGGGACTGACATCATCGCCAGAAGGAGGGGCTGCCGGTGCCCAGGCCGCGGGAGAACGGCGCTCTCTCGCCCCTCCGCCGGCGCGCCGCAGTGGCAGCCCGGCTCAGACCGCGTGGACTGCGCGGGGCATATCTTAATTCAGCAAGAGGGGAGAAAGGTATCTTTTCCATCCCGGCACGTCCTGCTCGGTTCCTTCTTCGACACCGCCCGCGCTTCCTCCGAGGGACCAGACAAAGGCAAGAAAAGGGCAACATGTGTACGAATTCCATCACTTCGACTTGCTCTCAAATCCACCCCCCCCACGCAACACATATGTCGAAGGACAGTCCTGAGGCCGCTATTCCAGCCGTGATTGTGCGAGTTTCTTTCAAACAAGAGTGAGAGTGGAATCCCATTTAGTCTGTACCGAGTTCATAAGGTTCCCGCAAGTCCCTTTTTCAGTCCCACGTGTTTTCACCTTTTACGGGAGGGGCCGCGTCGCTTTACTCAAAGCGGCGCTGCGTTCTCCCGAGTCGTGCTCAGTGTTTTGAATTGTTCTGTGCACGCTCCGCAGGTTGTTTCTTTGCTGCAGCGCTAAGACCTTGCTAGCCGATCTTGAACACCATCACCCCCTCCCCATATTTCCTGCCTCCTTCCCCGCCTGTCTCCATTTTCAAGACTTTGAAAAAACACTTTTCCTCGTACAGACACAGGTCCTGTGTTAGGTTTAAATCCCATCTTCGGACGTTTCTACACAAGGACTCGCTATGCTTTTGTTCTTTGTGTTTAAATTTGCTGTCTTCTTTTGTCCTAGCCCCTTTTCCGTCCCATCCTTGCTTTGTGGGTGTGTGCCGCAGTGGCGCAACTTTTGATTCCCAGGCCTGCAACCTACATGTTAACAGCCAGGCACCCGGCCCGGAAATGCGAGGGTCCGCGCGCAGACGCGCGCTCACACGCACTCCACACACACACACACACACACACACACACACACACCCATGCGCCCCGCACCCCAAACCGCAAAGGCAGCCAAAGCAGCGAAGCGCGGGATTATTTCTTTTGGAAGCCAAAAGGCCGGGTTCAGCTGGGTTCTAAAAGTCTTTCCCCGGGGGGAGGGAGGAAAGGAAGTGGTTCCCATTCTGCACTTTCGGAAAGGCGCATACATGCAAGCCTGGTCTCCAAACGAGAGCAGATTGCCGCTCTGCTCTTCCAAAGTCTCTCAAGGACCAATGCGCGGCTTCGCGCTGTTAAAAAGTCACCTTTTCCGAGGACGCTCTTATACAGGGCCGTTTTCTTCGCGGAAAGAGGCCGTTTTATGGCCACGCACTTAAAGAAATAATTCCTTTGTGATTAATTGTTTTCGGATTTGATATCGGTAAACGCCATTCACTTATGGGATAAGGTGCTAAGGGATGAAAAGTCATTTCTTCAGAGACAGAGGAACCCTGTTACGTTCCCCTACGGTCTTAGAAAGTATTCTTTCCCTTTTTGTCAATGAGGAAAGGATGCCGTTTTTGGCTTTTCTCCGCTACGCGATGGTAAGGAGTTCCTTTTTAAAAAATCAGCATAATTTTACACACCTATCATCTCCGCCCACATCCAGCAGGTGCTGGCTGAGCACAGCCCGGTAAGTAGGGCGGGAAGGAAGGGCGGGGAAACGAGCGCCAGACGGAATGGCCCGGGGAACCGTGCGCGCTCCTTGGCGCGCTGCGCTGTGCGTCTCTCTCCGCAAAGGGTCGGGTCCCTAAGGGTTGGAGTCAGCCTGGCAGAGATCCAGACCCGAAGCCCCCGGAGAGAAGAGCACATTGGGGTCCAGCCGCGCGAGATCCGAAGTGTACGCTGCGCTCCAGGCATTGCCCCTTAGCTCGGACCTCTCCGCCAAGCTAGCCAGCCCCAGAGGGATCTTTTCTCAGCACCAGCGCCAATCGTCAGAGTTTCTCTCCGCCTCGCCGAAGCTGGCTGTATTTGTGTAAGTGAAAGACCTTTCTGCACCGCCAATGTCGGGAAAATTCATCCGCGGACACTTTTCTGATGGAAGTGAGAGTTTTGGCAAAGTAACCAAGCCAAGCCCAGCGGTGACAGTGCCAAAGAGATATTCTGTATGCGCTCACCTCCGAGGTTTGCTCTCTCGCTTACCTCCAGGAAAGACATAGGGGTAGGGGGAAGGGAGAACACTCAAGCCCCCGGGAGCAGGCAGCAGGAAGTCGGGGAGCACTGCGTGCGGGACTCACACGTCACATGCTGCACCGTGCTCTGGCACCCGACCGGATACTCACCCGGTGACTGTAGCCTGTGTGAGTAGAGGGAAGTGGACCGAGAGAGAGAAAGGCAAAAGAATTCAACACCCGACGGTGATGGGGATTGCTGTAGCGGGTTCTACCGCCACAGCTCGCAGTCCGCTGAGCAGCCGGTGTGGTGGAGGTTGCCTCGGGGGTTGCTCCGGCCGCTGGGGTGGCCTGGGCTGCCAGTGCCGCTGCGGTCGCCGCGGGGGACGCCACTGTCCCCGCCACTCTGTTCAGCTTGCTGCTTTTCCACGCGGGCTGCTCTGTGCAGCTCAGACTTCCAGGGGATCAGGTTGTCAGAAGCTCATACTACCGCTCGGGCCGCAGGGTCTCAGAAGCTCCTACTACCGCTCCAGCCGCTAGGTGCAGCTCAGGCTCACAGGGGCTCAGGCTCACAGAGGCTCAGACTACAGCTCCTCCCGCTCTGACAGTGCTCTCACTGCACCGAGCCTGGGCCGAGCCAGCCCTTTTCGATGGCGAGTGGGAGGGACTAGATGGGGGTGGGGGGGGAGAAGGGGGAAGAAAGGGGGGTGAGCGAGTGGAGCTCGGGGCGCGCACGAGAGAAGTGAACCAGTGCCTGAGCTGCCCGCTGCGAGGGGATGGCGCATCACCAACTGCCGGGTACCCCCTTGTGGCCCCCCCACTCCCTGCACCCTACATCTCCCGCCGCTCCTGGGGGCGGCCCCTCCCGGCTGAAGGGGAGCGGGGGAGAAGGGCGGGGGAGAGATGGAGGTAAGCTTTGGAAGTTACTGTTCGCTGCCCGAGAAGGCTGCACAATCCGTGCTGGCTGCACATTCGCGTTTGGGACCCGCTGCGGGGGAAAAACGCGTGGCTTTCGGCATGTCCGCTTTGCAGAGCAAAAGCCAGAGCATCGCTCCACTCGGAGCTACGCCGGCTGCTCTGTGAGGCGTCCCCTGAACTTTAACTCATTCACGTTACGTTACAGAAGTTTTATTTTTTCTTATGATGCGTGCTTCTCTCGCGATCCCGCTGGCTGCCCTGACTCCAGCTAGAGAACAAGCATCCAACAGCTCCATTTTCGCATACAAAGGATACTTAAGGCAGACTAGTGGGACTAGGGGCCGAAGCCCAGCCAAGCCGCAGTTGGAGCCAGGGCTGGTGCCTCGTTTGCCTTTCCCATTGATCGTCTGGGGACAGCGGGGGCATTGAGAAGGGGAAGAGCTAGCATTTGGCTACAAGACAGAGCAAGTATTCAGTAAGCGTTTAGGAGGTTGATGCCTTCAAACTGCTTTAGCGGGGTCCAGGCGCTTCGCTACCGGGGGGCATCGGGCAGCCTCGTGGGCGTGGACAGCGCGTTTCCGAGGTAGGGAAGGATGCGAGAGAGGGAGGGACCCAGCCCGGAGCCGCAAGGCTGGTGCCTGCCAGGGCGCTCCAGCTGCCTCTTCGGCGCCACCCGGGTGGGCCAGGGAGGCAGAGCGGGGAAAGGTCTCAAAAAGCCACTAAAGCGACCAGGGCCAATGTAGCTGGTTTAAGGATGGGTCGTAGGAGTCATTCCCCTGCCCCTGTCATGGGGTTCAAAGCGAAAACCGCAAGTAAAACCTCCCACTTGGTCCACTCTGATTCTTGCTCCAAGGTGCAAATCCTTCAATTTACCCGGAGGCCAGAGAATGAGCCAGGTGCAGGGCTTTAGGGGAAAATACATTTCCCGGGCTTAACCAAAAGAAAAGAAAAAAACTTTCTAATGCTTGCTTTCTTTCGGAAGGAGACTCTGATAAAATAAAAACGGGGAAACGCAGATCATGTTTTTGGGGTGCCAAGAGCACAGATTTAATTTTTATTTTCCTCTGCTGCATGGGAGGTGGAGTCTATCTTACATAGGCATGAAACACTAAAAGGAAAATTTTGCCAATTACCACGAGTTGATTTTCTTTAATAGAATCTTCATGGGAAGTTTTTTTAAAAAATTATGATTGAAGGGCAAATCTTTATGACTTCTTTTTTTCCAGTATGTTCTTCCCCACCTTAATGACTACCATCTTTTCAATTCGTCATATTTTTAAACTTTACAATCTTGGGTCAAATAATCCTCACATCGCTTTTTTTTTCCTATTTTCCCTTTTTTCTTTCTTTTTCACACCTAAAGCCACTGCTGAGAGCAACAGCGACATCAGCACTGCAGTGGGGGCACAAAGACGTGTGGACCAGTGTGCCTCGTCCTGTATCCACCTCCTGCGCTGTCCTCTTCTTAAGAGCGAGGGAACTGTCTTGGAGATGCAATTAGAGACGGTTAATTTATTACAGCTCTGCCTCTTGGGTGTTGCACTTGACACTCTGTGAGGAACTCAAAGAAAAACAAAACCACTGATTGATCCGGGTTGGCGTGGCCAAGCCGTGCCATGCACGTGCTCCCAGAGCACCAATAATCATGAAAAACATGCACCTCAGACACCAATTAATTCATTTCTTAAGAAGTCCGGCGAAACCCAAGGCAGAGGGAGAGAACTGTTCAGTGGCTGTTAGGAAGTAGTTAAAAGTTATTAGCACGATGAAGTTCAGGTGCTTTACACAGCACTCTGGAGAGGAACAGCCTCTGGAATTTCTGTAACTTCTAAATTCCTGCTTTATAGTCGATCCGGACCTTTCTGTAATATGTGGCACAACATTTTCCTTCCAGTGTATGTAGGCCAGCACAAAATGATCTCTGTGCCAGAGAGACGTTACTTGCAGACCAGGGAGACCGCCAGGTGAACTAAGTAACCCAGAAAATTATCTGAGAAATTCAGTTTGTTGATAAGACTGACAGAAATCCACATCTGAAAGTAATGAAAAAAAATGTTTTCCCCTTTTCTCCTTCCCTGTGTTCCGTCTGACGGTGGCACCAATGAGCAGTGGAATAACCAAAAGCAAACACCTGTGCGTGTTCCAAATCGAAGCGGACTGAGAAATCTACTTCGCTTACTTACAGGAGGATTTCTTGACTCAATGCTTTCTACGCATCATCTCCGTTATATACATTGTCCTGTTAATCCTCACAATCATCCTGTGCCATAGATAGTATTGGCTTCACAAAGTGTTTTTGAACAAAGGAGTAAACACAGACTCGCAGTTCACCGACACTCGGGAAAAAGTGCAGGGCTGCGTAGCTGGAAAGCGTAGAGGTTGGAAAAGAGCGCCTGTGTCGGCTCCAGTCCACTGCGCTGACCCTCGGCACGTGGTCCTCGGCTTGCGAGGTGACACATTTTCCGAATTCACAGAACATCAGATATCTTATAATTAACAAAAGCCCTCCAAAGTGGAAAAGGAACTGTCGGAATTTATTTTTTTGGAGGCACTGCCATGAAGGAGCTGTGATATTTACTGCATTCTGTTCGGTCGGTATTCCAATTTCGAACTCGAGCCAAGATTCGCTTGTCTACCCTATAAACATGGCAATGTGTCTCATCTCTCCGAGCAAAATTACCAAACCATTATCTAATGATGGAATGGATCAGATGGGCGATTTCATTTAAAATTCTTTGAGTAAAGATGTTTCTCGGGCTAGTTAAGACTCGATTAAAGCTGAGAAACAATGTGTTTTATCTGAACACATGGACACGTATTAAAAGAAGGCTCAGGTGCGCATGGGAGGTTCCCATCCAGGTACATTTTCACCTCACAGGTGAAACAACCCTGAACAAGAGGAGAATGAAGCCAAACAAATAGTGTGGGATTTCAGTGACCCTCACGCTGAAACACTCCTCATGTAACCAGCCCGCCATCCGATTGGGACTTGCCTTTCTATGTTCCCCGTAGAGCGCGCACAGGCCATGCAGACGAGTGAGTGCCACGTGATAGTTATTCTGCTTCCGATTCCTTTGTGTGTTTTCCACAGCAACTCACACCGTTCATGGCATATAAATGTTACAATTGATAAATCATGTTATTGAGAAAGGAATAGGTGGGGGTGTGGGCATCAAACCGTAGGACTGCAGAAATTGCATTCTCCATGATTTTTTTTTCCCTGTTTCATATGAACCATCAGTAACAGTCCCAAGTAGTAGGAGGCACTGATGCCCAGGGGTTCAGAAAACGGCTTTGGTTTTAGACCAGCTTTGGAGCTCTAGCTCTGGCATGTCAAGCTTTGTGCCTGGGGGCAAACTGGTCTCCAGACCAGAGAGTCACTAGACACATGGGCTACTGAGCACTTGAACTCTGGCTGACCCGAACTGAGGTGTCCTGTGAGTGTGAAATGCATGCCGTAGTTTACAGAAGTGCGTAAAATATATTGTTAATGCGTTTTGTTAAATTGCATGATGAAATGATAATATTTTGACAAAACATCATTAAAAAGGACTTTGCCTATTTATTTTAAATATTTCCAATGTGGCTGTTACAAAGCTTAAAATGACATATGCAGCTGGAATCATAATTATTTTTTGCACAGAGCTATCTTACAGAGCCTCCGTTTGTTTCTTCATCTACAACTGGCGATAATGACCTTATTCACCTTCCATTATTATAGTGACATTTAATTAAGATAATGTATGTAACTTGTTTATTGCAGTGCCTGACATCCAGAAAAAAGTTGTTTACTCTCCAAGAGTTAGGAAATAAAGATATTAAGTTAAATTAAAAAAAAAAGCCTTACACCCTAATGGGTAAAGGACTACTTAAATAGGAAGCTTTAGTCTTTTTTTTAAATTTTATTTACTTATTTTTAGAGAACGAAGGGAGGGAGAGAGAGAGAGAGAGAGAGAGAGAGAGAGAGAGAGAGAGAGAGAGAGAGAGAGAAGCATCCATGTGCAGTTGCTGGGGGGTCATAGCCTGCAACCCAGGCATGTACCCTGACTGGGAATTGAACCTGCGATACTTTGGTTCGCAGCCTGGGCTCAATCCACTGAGCTACGCCAGCCAGGAGAAAGCTTTAGTCTCACATGAAATCATTTACCTTCTCTCTGTAAAAACAACACATATACAGTCGTGGCTGTAGGAGGAGGGACATTCCTGCGACATACAAAAGTGCTGTGTATGAAGAGTTCAAAGTACTTTCTTAGTTCCGAGCATGTTTAAGCATCGTAATTTGTACATAACCTTTTACATTTCACTGGTAGATGTTTCTCATGTTGAGGCCTTCAAGTTACAAATGAAAATAAGGCTGCAGGTGGTGTCTACTACACAGAGGACAAGTGAGTTTCTGCAGAAGTTAAAGAGACAGAAAAGGGAGAAAGGCTGGTTGTCGTTGCAGAGCTTTATGGACTGAGTAGTTTCCTAGCAGAAACACTGTACGCGCGGGCTGATGAGAAAGTGCATAGTTCAACTGCAGACACTAGAGGGCGGTATCAGTGAGAACTTGGAAGGATGAAGGAAGTCCTCCATAACCCCTTCTGGGCACCACCACTAGAGATTATGAGAATTTGAACCTCGGAAATGAAACTAACACTTCTTCATTCCCTCCACGATGTGGCTCTTTTTAAGTCTTGGCGCTGGCCTTAGACTGCCAAAATGCTAAAATAGGAGAAGTGTGCTAGTGTGCTTGTGCGACTAATAGGGAAAAGTTTGAAAGGGTTTCTTGCTCTGAGAAACACTTGATCAAAACCCAAGGAGGCCAGGAGGACACGTAAAAACACCGAAGGAAGGGCTTTCAATGAAGAAGAGATCTCAACAGGAATTCGTGACCAATCTGACAACCTCTGCCGTTAAGTAGGACAATTCTTTGGTAATCAAGCCAAGGCCATATAAAGTCTCCCTCTCTCCCTCCCTCCCTCTTTCCCTCTCTCTCTCTCCTCTCTAGGTTTGAACAGCTCATACATGCAGTGCGGTCAGAAAGGACAACTGAATTTCTCACGCAGGACTCTGGAAGTTAGGCCTTGTATGGTGAACTTCGCCGAATCCCTGAGCTCTG